TTTCTTGCCTAAATTTAGAACCTTGTTTTTTTTCACCATTAAATTTTATTTTGTTAGATAGCGCCCAATGTTCAAGTCTGTCAAGATCCCTCTGTATCTTAAGCCTATCTTCTGGAGTGTTGGCTATTTCTGCCAGCTTGATGTCATCTGCAAATTTGATGAGTTCCCCATCTATCCCCTAATCCAAAATATTGATGAAGATGTTGAAGAGCACTGGGCCCAGAACAGAGCCCTGGGGCACCCCACTACACACTTCCCTCCATGTAGATGCGGTTCCATTGAGGACCACACGCTGAGTACAGCCGGTCAGCCAGCTACGGATCCATCTGGTGGTGATGATGTCTAACCCACATTTTTCTATCTTATCAGGTTGTGGTCTACTTTATCAAATGCCTTACTGAAGTCCAAGTAAATTATATCCACAGCATTCCTCTGGTCCATTAATTTTGTCACCTGGTCAAAGAATGCAATAAGATTTGTCTGGCATGATCTGTTTTTGACAAACCCATGGGCAGCTATCATTGGAGAAACCCCTGTACTTGGTAGGGCACAAAACCCATCACTGTATGGCTCAGGGTAGCAGACTAAGCAATAATATTGGTCCTTTTGACAATATGACAATGGAATAAGGCTACCATGTAGAAAAAACTTGGGCAACTGCTTTTTTGACATCTAGGGTAAGATGCTCTGAAGCTGAGTTTGACTGCTAGCAATTCAATGAACTCAGCCATGGTATTTTTGTGACAACAGTATGAAACCAATTAACCCTGCCTTCTTTCATACACTATTTTAACCTTCTGGTTTAGTTTAATGCCATGGGATTACCAGGTGGTCTCCCATCCAAGTTCTAGTCAGGCCTTGGCAAGTTCAGCTGGGTGCTAGCTCCTGCTAGGACATAATACACTGACACACCATTTGAAAGTTACTTCTAAAGAAGAGATAGAAAAGAGATGATAAACAATAGCTTTGTGTAAAGCTACACATTCAAATCATTTAAAAAAACCAGCAGGAAAAACACTATAATTACAACAGCTGCTGATGGAATAACAACAATACATCTACCACAATGTTTCCCAACCTTGGCAGCTTGAAGTTGTGTGGACTTCAACTCCCAGAATTCCCCAGCCAGCCTGATTCCTGGGGAATTCAACTCTTCAAGTTTCCAAGGTTGAGGAACACTAATCTAATGCCTGAGAGAAAAGAAGATGGTGCCAAAATGGATTAGCTGCCTTCACACAACAAACCCCATTGTAGCCTTGGGTGTCTCAGGCTTCACCCCATAGAAGGAATGAACCACTTCAACTGGCTTACCAGAAACCAAAAAACTTCAAATAAGTATCATTTTTTGAAGGAAACTAAAAGCCATATCAGCAAATCTCAACACCTTTTGTAATTCAAAAACACGATGAGAACAACCATGCAATTATAAAGCCTGTAAATATTAATCAACAAATATAGAGTAACCATGTTCAAACCCCTCTTGCATTTAGCTTTTTTACTTCCTGTCCTACAGAAAAGACTTTTGGGTCCAATCCTTTGCTCTGCTCCATCACTCCCTTATTTTTGTAATTGTTCAATTGTCTATGTGTAAGTTAATTCTGATTCACCATAAGTCAACCTGTGCGTTTAGTTTCTGATTAAGTGTATGACTCGAATCAGGACTCTTGAGATAATTTAACAGAAAGAATCTGAACAGTTTGGGGCAACCTAGAACTAAGGAGAAACTTCCTGACAGAACAATTAAGCAGTGGAACAACCTGCCTCCAAAAGCGGTGAATGCTCCAACACTGGAAGTTTTTAAGAAGAGACTGGATGGCCATTTGTCCGAAATGGTATAGGGTTACCTGCCTGAACAGTGGGTTGGACTTGATGACCTCCAAGGTCCCTTCCAACTTTATTATTATTATTATTATTATTATTATTATTATTATTATTATTATTATTATTATTATTATTATTATTATTATTATTATTATTATTATTATTATTATTATTATTATTATTATTATTATTGGCACATTAATAGTTGGGAAGTACATTGAAGGCACTCAAGAACATGGTTACCATACAGGAGGGCCTCCCCATTGACCAAAGACACTATTCTTGCAAGGATTTCGCCAGGCACAAAATATATGGGCAAATTCCCTTGCCACATTTTGTAACCTCTTAGAGCAGGGCTTTTCAATCTTTTCACCCATTGTACCATTTTTAGGATATGGCAACATCCGAGTACCACCAGTCGCCTAGCAAGGTGTCAAAAACTTCATGACCAAAAAAAAAAAAAAAGGAAAAACGTGATAAAAGTACAGGTAGTCCTCGACTTACAACAGTTCGCTTAGTGACTGTTCGAAGTTACAATGGCACTGAAAAAAGTGCCCCCCAAGCCACAGCCGAGCAAGACACCTGCCTGCCCACCCGGCAGTGCTCTTCCTCCTGTCCGAGGTTTTCATTGTTGTGAGCATTTCTGTTGAGGATTGGCAGCGGGGGTGGGGGGTTCGGTTTTTATTCCCCCCTTCTGCTGGTCAGTTGCAGCAGGGTTTGGTCACTTCACATGACCCTGGGACACTGTGACCGTCATAAATATGAATCAGTTGCCAAGCATCTGAATGTAAATCACAATACCCTGGAGATGCTGCAGCATTCCAGATGATGGGTGCTTCTTCTGGGCTCAGCAGAAGGGCAGGATCAGTGCTGCTTTCCAGCTGATTGGTGCTTCTTCAGGGCTCAGCAGAAGCACCAGGATCAGCGCCGAGCTCCAGCTGGAGTCTGGCGCTGACCCTGGGGCTTCCGCTGAGCCCTGACAGCCCTGCAGCTCCAGCCATCTCTCGCTCAGGCTTGTGCGGTGCTGCCACCAGTTCAGCTCATTCCCCTCCCCCGCTACCACTTTTCTAGGATGGTCGCGTACCACCTGCCAGGTGCCAATGTACCACAGGTGGTACCCGTACCACTGGTTGAAAAGCCCTGTCTTAGAGTATTATCTATCAACTCTCAGCCTATCTCCATCTTTTGTTCAGGCTACAGACCCCAGCATCTTTATTTCCTAACAATGCTGTTGAGGTTTGTGTTGAATCAAGAAATAAACTTGACAGTGGAAGCTGACACGTTCCCTCACAACAGACAGCATGTCTTTCCTTTCCATATTGAAGCTCAGAATCTTAAAAACAATACGAAACGGAATGAGGCCATCTGGTTTCAAGGGCTTATTTATGAGGCCTCAAAGGAAATCAAGATGGTGGCCCCTTGAAAACCTTCTCTCACAACCATGGGGCAATTTGGCTGCCATCTTGACTTTTTTGACCCAACCCCACCCCTCATGGCCTTTTGCATACCCTGGAAACTTAAAGGCAGGTATTTTATGAAAACAGCTTCTAAGACTGGATGCCAACTGGAAATGAATAAAGAATTTTAAAAATGATATACTTGGATCAAAAACGTTTTAATTACTACATGGAGAATTACTGGAAATATGACCTCAGCAAGAGTATTCTGTCATTTAATGAATAATAATTTATTAAAATTGTATGCCACCCAACTTTCACAGACTCTGGGCAGTTCACATGAACAAAAACACACAAGGGAAAGGTCTCTTAGGATCTGGATTTCTAGATCCTAAGCTATATGCAGCTTATATATGTTTGAAAGTTAGCTGAGATGGGCAGCATACAAGTTCAATGAATAAATATAGGTCATCATAAACACCTTGAAACTGAGCTTGGTTTGCATTCATTCCTGTTCCTCTGCTCTTTCACCTTGCAAATACGCTTAATTCACATTTTCAGCTTAAAATTATTGGAAAAATGTAATTGTCCTCCCCTGTGGCATAAACAATTTTGCCATAAATAACTAGCAAAAAAAGCCTTTATCAATAATTGCCACCTTGCGTGGAAAGCAGATTAGTAGCTGAGCATATGGAAGCATTGGCTCCAAAGTAAGAGTACCAGATTTAGGATTTGGTAGCCTTGCTTCAGTATGTTTCCAAGAAATGCAACATTTGCATCCCAGAATTTAAGATGTTATACCCTAGCCTTTTAGAACGGGTTACTGTAGAAAAAAATAAGTGAAGCCTTTTGCAGGAATATAAAAATGGGATCTGTATAGCCAACAACTACTTTTAGTTAGGGTTTGTTGTAATCCCACAGCCAGTTACCTGGGAATAAAGACTGCATAAAAACCCTTGGAGTACATACACCACTTTCAGTATAGTAAAGCAGCGAGTATTTAAAAACAAATCTCCTTAAAGATAATAACACATGAACAAAATGAAGCAGTCATTATTGCTAGCCAAAAGGGAAAAGCAAAAAACAAACAAACTGAGCAGAACAAAGCAAAATTCTTCCTAGGATAGGATTTCTGCTGTACCTTTCAGGGTCCCACAGAGGAAACAAATTAACTTCCTTAAACTCCATCTTTTATACCACCTGTCCCTCCACTTCGGAGCCGTTTAAACAATCTGAAATCAGTCTCAACAACACCCTGGTTAGGGCAGTGACCATTTCAAAGTCGGAGTTGCACCTGTAGAAGAAATTGGTTGACTCACCTGGTAGCAATCGGCCTATAAAGTGTTTTCAGGATCCAGTGTGTGAAATATATTGTACTGTGAAACTGCTCTGTATATGATAAATAACCTGAGGTGTTTTGTTTGCTTTAGTGTATAAAAAAAAAACCTGTTGCCTTGACACTNATCAAAAGGGCACACTCAGACTCAGGTCAAAGTACATGACACAGTTAATACAAAGCCTCAAACAGGAACAGGAAACAATCTCAAGAGCCCCAGAAGGTATAAAAACCCATCATTCCCAGTAACATGTGGTCGGCTTTCCCAGAGCCATGCTTCTGTCCGGCTTTGCTCTTCGATAAACTCCAACCTTCTTTCTAAAGCAGTCTCCATCAACACCCCCAAAGAAATATCCAATAATATTGGATATTATTACTATCCAAACAATAATGATTAGTCCTCATGAAACAGTTATTTTGCAAAGGAGAACGGAAGTTGCCTGTACCTGCGATGTTTCTTCATTCGGTGTGTGCTCCATTCTATAGTGGTTATTTCTTGCTTTCTCAGCAGACTCCATTTCCAATCCTTACAAAGAACAGCTTCATTAAATCTATAGGTTACAGGATAAAAGATGAAAAGTTGAAATGTACAAAAGCAGGACTCTGTGTGAATAAAAGTTCAGCAACCCTCTTCCATATTCTTGACAGGAAAACCAGATGCACATGGCTAGGAACTCTCCAAGAGTCACCAGTTGCCTCAAGAAAGAATTTGCCTTGATGGGGGGGGGGGGGGGGGGGGGGGGGGGGGGGGGGGGGAAGGGAGGGAGGAGGGAGTAGAGGAGAGGAAAAAGGGAAGAAAGGGGAACAAAAAGGGAAGAAAAAAAGGAAAGGAGAAAGGGAGAAAAGGAAAGGAAAGGAAAAGGGAGGAAAGGGAAAGGGGGATAAAAGAGGGGAAATGAAAAGAAGGAAAGGAAAAGGAGGACAAAAGGAAAAGTGAAAATGAAAAAAAAGGGAAGAAAAAGGGAAGAAAAAAGGAAAGGAGAAAGGGAGGAAAGGAAACGGAAAGGGGGGAAAAAGAGGGGAAAGGAAAAGAAGGAAAGAGGAAAAGGAGGACAAAAGGAAAAGTGAAAATGAAAAAAAAGGGAAGAAAAAAGGAAGAAAAAAGGAAAGGAGAAAGGGAGGAAGGGAAACGGAAAGGGGGGAAAAAGAGGGGAAAGGAAAAGAAGGAAAGAGGAAAAGGAGGACAAAAGGAAAAGAGTGGAAATGAAAACAAAAAGGGAAGAAAGGGAAAGAAAAGGAAAGTGAATGAAAAAGAGGAAAGGAAAGGGAGAAGAAAGGAGGAAAGGAAAGAAAAAGAAAAAGAAAAAGGAAGGCCAGGCAAAACACTGGCCCCCTTGAGGGCTGAGAACAAGCAAGCATCTGCCCTCAGTGATTCAACAGCTTGAACTATCTGTTCCCGAGCAGCATGCAAATTAGCAAAGATATAAATAACCCAACACATCTGAATGGTACCTGGCTGGGGAGGTCAGAGAAGATGAGCAAGATCAAATCCCAGTTCGGTTCTTTCAGAGAGAGAGAAAACTCTTGATTCTATGAATAAAAAAAAGGCAATGCTCATTATGCAAAGCTATCGAACATGGATGAGAACGGTAAAAAA